GTACACCGTATTTGTATTGTTTTTTTTTTTAACTTTAATTAAACATTTCGCTACACTGAGTTTATGTGATTTTTTAGCGCTTTTGTCATCTAATCGCCTTTATGTATACTTTTGCATCTTCAACATCATTTTAAGATTTTAAACAGTGTTGAAACACCATTTTTAAAATTCAATATCCAAGGCATGCGGTTTTAACATCATTTTTAGAATTAACATCTATGCAGTTTTGTCTATAACACGGGCTATAATCTCCTAAGTAATAATTTTAAAAAATGTTGTGTTTCTTGATATTATCAGTTGCGGTTCATGGTGTTCCTAAAAATTTACTAGACTTTGTGTATTTTTTTGATAATAATATTTTCGCTTAATCCAGTTCGAAGTGTAATCCCAAATTAATGTCATGTGGGCAAGTGAAGATTATTAGTGAAGCTTAAGTTATAATGTTGTGCATTCCATTCCTAAAATTAAATGGGGATCATTTCGGGGTCGGTATCATTTCGGGGGCTCTCGGGGCTGGATTTTATGAGACAATAAGCACTTTAGCTGCAAGAATTGATTGACCTTTTTCTGATTATCGCCTAATAACAGCCAATCATATCTAATGTATACTAGCATGAAATCGAGCGTTCTTTTCCATGTTTTTGAGAGTAGCTCTTGCACAACTGCTATAACGAGTGAATACAAGTGAGCCAGGTGATTAAATACAATCGACTCTACTGATTGTCTTAGTGTAGTTTTCGTTTATCTGAAAACCCTAGTGAACGGGGCAAAGTTTTCAACATGGACTAAGGCCTTGCAAAAACAAGAAATCGAGACTCCGACACTTCCAGGCCGTTGCCGAAAAAATATCGAGACCTCAAGACATAGAAATCGACCGAAATTTTGCAAGAATCTCATTTTTTGAAAAAATATTCGCCACCCCCGTAGTTTCAAGAGAAAACGATGCGAAACGCAAGTTTTATGTATAATTTCTTGGAAATATTATTCGTTTCCTTTAGTTATTTACTTATTTGCCACACAGCTTCAGTAAAAAGATAGCTTATGCGCCGGCCTAATATATTATTCATGGCATCAAACAGTGAAATCTATTACCAGTCATTTCGAGAGTACTAAATAATATTCAAGAGCTAATAAATTTGATGCAAATTGTTTTGAACATTGGACGTGTCGGAATTCACGTGGTTCTATTCTTGTTGAAAATAAAATTTAATAAAAATTAAGGGTAGGGAAATTTGTCGTTTCGGTGTGTAAAAGGACTTACAGACGCATCTTATAGCGGTAAAAAAGACACTAGAAAACTTCCTGGCCTAGTGTTTTATTCATATTAAATTCATATTATTCCCGAGCCGAAGTATGTACAAAGATTCATGATTCCCAAGTTGTTAAAACAAAGATTCATGATTCTTACATCTTTTGTAACTATGATTCATGATTCATGATTCCGCTTTTACCCCCGATCATATACCAGCTTCTGCCGAAACTATGTCGGAGTATTGGTTTCACAAGACCGCGACAAAGAAGACAATATCAGTGTTTCAGATATCTAAGTTCTGATTTACAACATATACAACATTACTGTAAATAAAATTATAGCGAGGTAGCCATGTATTGAGAATAGCCGACAGCACCAACGCTTTAGCTTGACTTTGCTTGTGCCTGTTACGATAGCCTACGAGATTGGAATTCGTTCGCTTCCTCTTCCAAAATTTTGTTCACTTTTTAAATGTCTTCAGCTCAAGCGGGTGTCATCATATTTCGCTTTCCCTCGGACGATTCTCGGCCTGATCTACATCAGCCTTTTAGATGCCAGACTCTCAGGAACCTGCTTATTAATGAGCGCCTGTTGTAACTCTTGTAAACAAAAGCAATTTACAATTTTCCGGGCGCACGTTTATTTACAAACAGAACGTTGGCGATCTTACACTAGCACAATTCCTAAAACATGCTATAATTCCTCAAAAACGGCAGGTTTTCCATTACAAGTATTCGAAAACTCCTCATTAGAGGTTTCAGAAAAAAGCGAAATCGTAGCAACACAAGCACCGGAGCTCGGCCAGACCGTAAGGAGGGAAGCTGACAACCTAATGACCTGAGGTGATTTTGATTGGATGGTATCGAATCATGCTGTGTGGGGGTGGAAGGCTCCAGTAAAAGCATCTGTGTCAGGCGTTTCTCTCCTTCAGCTCTCTCCCTTTTTCGCTTCCATCTTTCCCTTTTTCCCCCAGAAACGATTGATACTCAGGCTATTCTGCTAGGGGGGGTTTATTAGAAACAAATATTTTGTTAGATGACATTCTGCTTCTTTTTATTCTCACGATATTCTCTTATCAAATAATCTAGTAAAGAACATCTTTTTTCCTGGTAAGCAGGGCATATATATATATTTAGAAAATGGTATTCGTTCTCCATTTCTATTTTACAGATTGGGCAAATTCTTTCATCAGGTTTCTTAAACGGTGTCGAATAACGTCCTGTCTCTATGGCTAATTTCGTGGTTGCTTAGTCGCAGTTTCGTGAGAGCTATTATGTCTCGTGTATTGGTGACATATTACATGACTTCGTGTGTTTCGCCGGGGGGGGATACTGGATAAGGTTTTATATGGGGAGGCCCTCCCGGGAGGTCTAACCTCTTACCCTTTTATATGCCATTTTTCGCAGAAAGGTACCCTGTTAGTGTAGCTTCTATTGACAAATGTCACTCTTTCACATACCAGGAGCAGCTACTGTACATACCTAGTTTAGAACTTTGCATTCCTTTTAACAGCAGTAAACGCACTGTCTTATAAAATAGGAATAAATCAAAAACAAGAGCGATACCTGAACGATTTCTTGACTTTTTCACAGCCATAAAATGTATCTATTGGGCCTTTTTACAGACGGAAATGACAGATTTGAGAACCCTTTGGTATATTTCAACTAATGAAATCCCAACCTTTTCATATACCTGAAGCCTTAAAAAGGTACCCCTTTAAGGCGGCACCCCCCTGTATAGGCCGTTATCGGGAGTGTCCCCTCCCTGGGTGTTATGTTGAACTGCAAACTAAAAATACACAGAACGAGTAAGCAAAAGGAGCTCTCGGAAGCTATGCTACTCGTGATAGATTTGTATCTCTTTGTCTTTTTGGGCAGAATATTTATCTGTTACAAATGGACTTTCGATTATAAAAGTATTTAGTATATACTAAAACAGTGGATAGTGTTTTCCGCGCGCTCTGATTGGCTACTCAATCAGTGAATATCCTGCACTATTCACTGATTCACCTCCAGTTCCTCGGAGCGAGCGACGCCAAACTCGTGTAAGTTGCAAGCAAAATGCCTTCCAGGTTTGCTGCCGTAAACAAACAAAGAAATTTCACAACTAACCAAGCAAGCTGTTTCCGAAATACACGAAGAAGGTGACGAAGTTCGGATTGGAAGTTTTAACAGGTAAAGCTTTGTCTTTTTGACACGAATTTATCGATAAAACCGGTGAAAAAGTTTTTTGTTTACAAATGCAAATGAAGCTTAAGTCTTGCTTACTTTATTCAGTTTAGTTGAGTTGTTCATAAATAAGCTTAAAACTAAATTTAATAATCTTTTTTTATAGAATGATTTTAAATACAAAAAGAATTCACAACTCCTTTTGAAGAAATTTCCCCGCAAGAGCTAAACAAATGCCTTCAAAAGTTTTAGTTGCCGGCAAGAAAAAGCGACGGCCGCGGCCGCCCGGTCATTACGCGCCAAAATTGTAATCGTTGGCAACAGTATTTGAGTTAAAAATCGTCGTTTTTGTGCTCAATTATCTCACTGTTTTAGTATATACTAAAACAATTATTCACCTCAGTGTCGGTGGCTAGTCGTGGATATTTACCTCACTGCTTCGCAGTTCGGTAAATATCCAGGACTAGCCACCTCCACTTCGGTGAATAATTGTTATTTAATAGGCAATATCATTTCTACTGTTTTAAGGAAGAGTTAATGTTTACAACTCACCAGCTTTGGTCGCTATCAACCTTTATACCACTAAATGAGAAATTTCTGCAATTTGATTGGCTTAGAGCAGTGGTATTTCAGCTTAATTGAAATACCTACATGTGAAAATTACAAACCTTTTGCGGGGAGTAGTACATGTAATAGCATGATTTGTACGTGATATTTGGCATAAATACCACTCGTGATATTTCAAAATTGTCTCAAATTTCACGAGCCGTTACGTATAACAATTTTGAAATATCACTCATGGTATTTATGCCAAATATCACTACTAATCATGCTATTACCTATACGAATTAGACGCTTTTAAGATTTACATAACACGATTTTATTGCTCTTTTTTTTTTAATTCAGTCGATGGATGTATGTGCTAGGTGACAGTTCAAAAGAATGTTTGGTTTTGAGCAGTCAATATGTACAGTAGAAACGAAAATGCGTGTCCGTCCTTTAAGTGTTTACAATACGGACATAATCAATATTGCAGATATTGTTCAAACCTCTCAGTTGACTGAAACGTGCAGCATGATCCGTTGTTTAACCACGCCTTGCTCTGACCAGGATAAAAACGGCTTATAAGCGAAGACATTGTACACTTTACTGATCAGTGATCTACAGACACCACACGCGGAGGTCGTGTAGCTTCGTTTAGCCCTTTGAGGTAAAGTCATTCCAATTCCTTCTCGCTTTTAACTTTGATATTCAGAAAAAGTCTGCTTTATTGAAAAGAAGTTCTTTTAAAGCGGTATTCTTGCAATTTACCTTTTTTAAGCCACTATTCAGTCTCCGATTCAGTCCCTGTTTCCCCTTAGAGCAAGCTGAAATTCGATAAAGTGATTGTGCAAAGGACATAATTCAAACAGTTAAACATCTCTTGGACTACAATTTCAACTGAAATTGATATTCTTTTCTGCTTCTAGTAACTTTTCATTATGCTTTTGTTTGTCTGCTTTTATTTTTTATTTTTCATGATATTTCTACTTTTCAGTACATTTTTCACTTTTTGAACGAACGTAACCTGAGTGGTGACGATGTTTCGCTTGCTTGCAGTGTATCTGTTCGTTGTCTTTGCTAGTAATTTCAAGCCATCAGTGCAGGTAATGCTGCAGTCTCTATTTTAAAGAGTTCAGAAGTGTTAAGCTATTGAAAAGGAGCTTTCAGTAACGTTTCCATCGCCCATGTAAGGTATACAGTCAAAAGGTGTACCCCGGGGAGGGTTCAAGGGGGATTGGGACCCCCTGCCCCCACTCCCATTTTCTCCTCTTTTTAATTAACACAGGGATCGATAGTCAATGGTACTAAAGAAAGCGGTAAAGCGTGGCGTAAGAATGTGAGGCGTCTCTCCCCAGTCTCGCTCCCTGTTTTCAGCCTCTTTACAGACCTTTTGTTTGACTGTTCGCGCGTATATGAATACGCAAAAATACGGACTGTTTTGCAGTCTAGTACTATTGAGGTCAGATGCAAAAGAAATTAGATGACTTCTATTCTTGTTGCGCAATCTTAACTGCAGTCTACAGTGGTAAGCTTTAACGACTTTGACTGCACGAAACTTTGTTATAATCGATAAGGAATTCGAACTCCCGGATTATAAGTTGTTTAGAAAAGATAGGGAGAAACTTCTGACTTTGGCTGAAAATTCATATTCCAAGAAAGCCTAGAAGTTTTCTTATGGATACCTTTTATAGGCCAGCAAATTCTCCCAGTCACTCACTTATCGACAGTGAGCCTACTCGAATTGCTGCTAAGAACCTTATTTTCGTATAGATTTAACAGTAACAAATAATCCTCACAACATCAGTGGTTTCGGGGTGTTGTAAGGGCCAGTCGCGGCAATCATGAGATGATCTCTTGCGTTCGAAAACTGAACTGGAAAAAGGTGCCAGCTCAAATAAAAACATTGGAGAACCAAGCAATTCACTACGTGATTTCCCTGAACCTGCAAAATTCTTGCAGTACGACAGCGCATTCTGATCACTCTGTGGACTGAGCGTCCCTTCGCGAGTTCAGCATCTGTATAATCAAAGGACTTCACAGACGAGTTTAATTGACCCCTTCCCTTTCAAAATGGCTAGATAACCCCCTAACAGAGTCTTCTCAGGAATTTTCGCGGTTTCAATAACATATCGGCAACTAAAACTCGTGCACAAAAATTAAAATTGCTTTTATTGTGGCTACACTACACCACACTGATTTGGTTTGGTGGATGAAACTAATCCTATGGCATAATATCTTTGGCATAGTGCCGACTGTTTTTTAGTTTTTGTTTAGAAACTGAGAAATGGAATTTGGTCTTTGGGATAAAGGGTAAAATATGATGATTTACTGATGAAATAGCGATTAAACTGAAACCGGTCTGTACATATTCTTGTTGTTTTGTAGACTAATCTGGTGACACTCGACAGCAGTAAGCTTAACCAAAAAATCAGTGAGTTGGAAAGTAGAGTCCAGGTAAGACGATCGAAATAAGCCAGCAGCCTAATTTTCAATTTTTAATTTTTTGAGTTAGGCATTTTTATAAAACGCAGTAAATTTCCCAAGAATTTCCGAATTTGAAACAGATCCTCTCATAGCGGGCCTCACCTTTCAGTGAATATAGCCATAATTTTACAATTATGTTAAACGGAATAACAACAAAACAAAATTTAAACAAGTAATGAACACCTTTTTTGGAGACAACAGCTAGAATAAAGCATTCTCAGAGAGTACCATATGGCGGCACTTATAACTGAACAGCATCAACTCATCCAAACGGATCTTTGAGACGGCAGAAGACAATAGGCTATTATATAAGTATTGCGTTGTTAGCCTTTTTGTGCGAACAATTGTTTCGTGCTACTTTGCTGAATTCGTCGACTGCCTCAAGTCCGACTGAACCACGGGTACGTGAAATCAGTGCAAAATTCGCGAAAGTTCACTCTGGCAAAATATAGTAAAAGTAAGTACGATCAATTTAGCGCAATAAAAATTTTCTCTCCATGCATTAAAAGGAATCAATCCCAAAAGACAGGCATAGATACTGAATTCCAGGCCGTGGATTGCAGATTCCAGTCTCTGTCAGTGGAACGTGGATTCTGAATTCCAATTGTTAGTGGAATTCCGGATTCTTTGATCTTCCGGATTCCAAAGCCCAGGAATCTGGATTCCACAAGCAAAATTTTCCCAGATTCCGGATTCCACAGCTGAAAATTTCCCAGATTCCGGAATCCAGAATCCCTCACAGTGGGCGCCACCCTTTTTTTTTTCTTTAACGAATGCAGGCTCTGACAAGCGGACTGAATAGCGCCAGAGTGCACTGTGATGAGAAGGTTACATCTTGGGACCTAAGATCAGATGCTTACATCAAGTACTTGGACCGACAGAATGTTGAGTGCCCAAATGGTTCTTTCTTGGCCAGATTCCGACTTGTGAGGGAAGGAAACTATGCCTCAGCCAGAGTTCGCTATCTTTTCCGTTGCTGCAAGTTTATTCTGTAAGGGCGCAGCCCAGACTTGTCCAGTCAACAGTTGCCGTCAACTTAAGCGATAACAAGTAGAATAAAACGAACAAAAATAAAGCGAGACAACCTGTTCAACTATTTTGTTCTAGTTTATTTGCCATCACCTTTACATGCATGTTGATTTATGTTACCTAGATTCACATGATGGCTGCCGAGATCGGAAAAAGCCGTAGTAATCGGCTCCTGTAAAAAGCTAGTCTAAGATTCTGGAAGAAGATCCCCAAGTTAACGGTCACCAGTACTCAAGCACAATGGATGGCTAAAATTGGCTTGAATATCGTAACGTTTGCTATCCACGCCTATTTTAGAAGGATTTGCATGGAGTCAGCGGAACATAACGGTGCTTATATCTCCCCAACAATTTGCACTAACAGGCTGACTTTTGGCAAAGGGGCTTTTATCATCTTGTTCTTTCTAAATATGGCAAGCAATCCGGTCATAACCTTGCAAATTTGAATTTTTGTGACGTCACTTTTCTCTTCTATATTCACGATTTGAAAATCAGTTGCTGAACGCCATCTTGGTTTTTCAAAGCGTTTCAAGTCCCCTTTATTTTCTTTGGTTGCCGGCTAGAACCATTGAGGTTTAAAGCTCGTAATTTTAAAGGGTCTCAGCTCTTAAATAACATCCTGTGAACCAATTTTTCATAACCTTGCAAATTTGAATTTTTGTGACGTCACTTTTCTCTTCTATATTCACGATTTGAAAATCAGTTGCTGAACGCCATCTTGGTTTTTCAAAGCGTTTCAAGTCCCCTTTATTTACTTCGGTTGCCGGCTAGAATCATTGAGGTTTAAAGCTCGTAATTTTAAAGGGTCTCAGCTCTTAGATAACATCCTGTGAACCAATTTTTCGTTGTTTAATTTTATTTTTGCCTGAGTTTTTCATTTTTTAATGCTTGGGACTAACTTTATGGAATTCGCCACTACTTTGAAACATTAGTAGCCAAATGACTCCTACGAAAAACAACTAATTCGCCCTTGTTAACCATCATTTTATTCTGCATTGATCGATGTTAAAGCGCAACTTCAAACAAACCAATCCATCTGAATAGTTCTTTTCTTTACTTTACTTAAAAATGGATCTAAAAAGTCGCCTCGCTCTGCAGTTCTTCTTTTCTGCCATAATAGTCAGTAGAGTCGTATTTCATGTAACCTCATACTGAAACGGCTGTTTTGCCCTTTTCGTTTTTGACAATTTATGAAATACATTAAGCGAAGCAGTCGCCTTTGTGCTCATTTCTTTTCTTGCCATGTCAGTGTCTACTGCGACTTAAGAGACATGATTTTGCAACTGTGAGAAGCAATGTTCCCCTTATCAGGCGGTAACCAGTAAAATTTACCGCCTGGAACACCATGAAGGTTTTCTTAATAAAAGAGAGTACTTTTAAGGGGGCAGTACGGTTAAAAGCATTATTTTTCGCTGATTTCCACCTTTTTCCTTAAAAATCTAGCAAAGATTTCTGATTCAATCCGAAAATGGCTCAATTAAAGTTACAGTCCTTAATTCAATAATTATTTGTGAATTTTTGGAGCTTTTTTTTTTTCAAATAATGGGCCAAGCATTTTGGAATGAGAACATTGAGGACAGAGTAAAATTTTTGAAATCAATCATTTTAAACTGTTGTGTATTAAAAAGATAACAACGGCCGATTTGTGTATAATAAGTCTTAAAATGAGGAAATGACATTTCAGAGAACTTAGTTCCTAAATTTCCCAGTAAGGGTGGATAATTACGTTTAGTGTGATCAAGAAAGTTCTTCTTAATGAATTAAAACAATCACAACGTTGTTGTCTACATTCTAAGTCTACAGGGCGGAGACTTTAAATCAGCCAGAGTTCGCTATCATTCCCGTCATTTTTTGCCCTTTCATTCTGTAAGGGCGCAGATAAAATTTGCCCAGTTAAGACTCGTTATTTATTAAATTAATAACAACTGAAATCAACTGAAATAAAATGAGAAAGCTCGTTTCCCGGAGGAGGGGTACCCAACAAAGTTTTTTACGGGGAGGTGTAGCCCAGAGGTTCAACCCTAATCTCTTACACAGATCTCACTCTGTTTTACACTTGGCCGTGGGAGATCTGGGTACGAGATTAGTTCAACCCTTACCCTTTTGTCAGAAAAGGTACCTCTTGCAGTTAATTTATTATTTCAGGTAATTTTTGTTTTTCCTTTGTTTCAAATTCATTGGCATACATTACTATTTCCAAAAACAATGGGAAAGTAAAATTAAGTACAACAAAGTCCTCATTAACAAATGGTACCCCTTTCACACTGACCTAGCATAGAACTCTGCATCCCTTTAAATTGCTGTAAATATACTGTCTTTTAAATAGGAATAAATCGATTAAAATGAGTTGCTTGATGAAATTTGTTTATACTCCAAGTCCCAGGTCCAAGTATACAAAAGCAGTGACTACTGACGTGAATTTGCTATAGTGTAATTGCCAATAGGCTTAAAATAAGACGACGTGCATTTTGTCCTTTGTCCTAAACAGGGTAAAATAGAGGATAAGTCCCAACAAGAGAAAATGATCTCTTGGTCCCAAACGGTATGTCAGGATTTTTTTTGTCCTAAACAGGGTCAGGCTTTCACACCCCCAGCGGCTGCCCTGTACCCAAATATTGGTCGAGTATCCCCTGAGTTGATGTTAAAGGCTCACTAGCGACGGAGATGGAGTCAGAAACGTTAAGTCCTACACTTCTGACTACGACTCCGACTCCGACTCCGTCGCCGGTGAAAACCAGCCTTAAAAGGCAAAAAAGGCTGGTTTTCGACTGATTATGCTTATGACTCCGTCGTTTACGATCTAGTGAAAACCAGATTGTCACAAACGGAAGCAGAAGTGAAAGGATAAACCAATCAAAAAGAACGTTTCCACGCTTTGTGATTGGTTTTTAAAATTCTTCCGCTTTTGCTTACGACCGTTTTCACTTGATCGTGATTCGTAACGCGACGGGGTTGTAAGCGGAATTAGAACGCTGTTTTCACTAATACAACTCCGACTGCGACCCCGACTCCGACGCTTGCAAAAGCCAGCCTTAATAAATACAAGTCTAAACAATAGCTTAGACGCACAGTCAACAAAACAAGTAAACAGCAACTAAAAGTTGCTCAAACTTATTTCTGAGTTCCCCCCCCCCAAAAAAAAACAAACAAACAAAACAAAAATCATCAAGTGTAATATTTAACAATTATTCCTCGAGCCCATGAGGCCGAAGATACCCTGCGAACAGAGACTCTTTCGATCTTCCTAGATAAGTGGGGAAAAGGAAGGAACGAGTCCCGTCCTCTTTCCCGACTTACCTAGGAAAGATCGAAGCGACTCTGCTAGCAGGGTAGGCCGAAGACCGAATGGGCTATTGACTCAGAGGCCATGAGGGCGAGAGGAAATTTTTTTTTTAGTAAAATCCAACTAGTTGGTCAAAAATATCGAGACGAAAAAACGTTAGCTAGCAAAATGCGATTAAGCCGCCACTGTTTTAATTTTCAAAGCCGGTGCTTTTCGCTACTAAAGGGCCATAACAATTGCCTAGTAAAGCGCTCGAAAATACAAGCGAAATCTGCTCATGCCCCCTGGGCATCCTAAATTTTTGCGTCCTACTTGCTTTATTGTACAAACGACCGGTTTTAATAGACCGGCGAAATTTCTTATTTTATTAAACATGTTAGAGCACTGAGGTTACGACAACTTCGAGTGAAACTGATTTCACGGGTTGTCAAAGAGTCCAGCGATTCCCTTTTCCCAGCTGAGCGCCGACTCATTTCGCTTCAATATTCACAAATGCTCTCGATCTCTTAACGCTTTCATTCGCCTTCCGCCCGACATGTTTTGCACGGCGTTTAGTCATGCGAAACCTCCACGAAACATCCACGCAGCGCGCGAGGTAACTTTATCCCGATTTTAAGAATAACTCGAGACGAATTACCTATGGAATAGGGTGTGTATGGGGGATGCCTTCTCTCTCCCCTTTATCCTCTCTTGCCAGATATTGATAGATTTCTCAATAAGTGACTACAGGAGCCCAGCTCCTGGTGACTACAGCTGACTATGTCAGATAACTAGAATGAATAAAAATTTGAAAATTTAATAATATGCATTTTGCTTATTTTGCGTGCAGGCTCCGCCAAAAATTTTACCCGAATCTGCTCGCAGGCTACTGGTTCGAGGAATTCCTTGGGGATCATTTCAGGGTCAGCGCCTAGCCAAAAATGGGATCATCCTGGGTCAGGTCGGACGCGATCCATTCAACCAAAATTCCAACCGGTCCGACCGGGAAAAGTGGTCCACCTCAAAAGGTGGACCCGTTTTTTCGAAACTTTTCCGGTTGGACCGTACCGATCCATTGAGTTTTGGACCGAAATTTCCGGAAATTTTGGTTGAATGGATCGCGCCCGTCATTTCGGGGTCGGGCTGGAGATCATTCCCGGGTCCCCCGGGCCGCACATACAAATATTCAAAATGGCTTCCAATAAGGTGATACATATAATATTCATGTGACAGGTTGCTGGGTAAAGCGGAACCTACTAATGGCGGGTAGAGTTTGGCAGAGGTATTTTGTACATGTTTTCGTAGTTTCTTCTTGCACAGACTTTGTTTCAACGTATAGCGAGTGCAAGAAAATCGACGCTTGTAGCTGTTCGACAGATAAAGGAGAAATAAGCCTTAAAAATCTAGCAAGAACAGGAAAGCCAAGGTAAACTTTTAACTCAACTTTAACGCACTCTCTTTGATAGCTTCGCTGCGTTTCACTACAACCTGAATTGTATGACCTAAACTTTCTTTTAGTTACCGGAGAATCATGCGTTTTGTTAACTGTGGGTGCAAAATGTGGTTTCAGGGTTTCTTTATAATGTCTATCTCACTTCCCCTTCTTTGCTAAGAACAAGCTTCTCCTCGAGCAAGCTTGCACAATTCATTTCTTTGAGTTCTCCTGTTACTGCAGACTACACAGACAACAGACTGGGTATAAAAT